ATATAGATGTGTGTGTGTGTGTGTGTGTGTGTGTGTGTGTGTGTGTGTGTGTGTGTGTGTGTGTGTGTATACGGCGATCTGAATTAATCCACTTTTACGAGGCCGATTTCGCTCGGTCTCGTCTCTCCGTCTCCTTTCTCTCCTCTTTTATCGCCCGCACTTTTTTCCCCAGCTCTTTACCGAATCTCCGCAGTCTCGTCGGCGGGGGAGAGAAGAGAAGAGGAAACGAATTTATAATACGCAATGCAGTCTCCTGCAGCGTGTCGGGTTGCAAATATCATACAAAGTCCTACCAGACGTTATAAATCGGTTGCGGTGTGTGATAAACGGTGAGTGAAGTCGGTGAAAGTTCGGTAAAAACTTCCAGAAGTACGACCGATTGATAAATACCGCGCATAAATTAAAAACCAATCTGATGGAAAATCTCTTAATTTTTACACGGTTGATAAATCTTCTGATGATAAATCGCAACTACATTTATTTCCTTTTCTCATCCTTTTCTTTCTTATCTTTTGTCTCTTTTTCTTATGCCGGTGTTATTTAATATTCATTAAATATGTAATGTATATAACTTTAAATCATTAAAAATATCTTGTCTTCTATGTACTAATTTTTATAAATAAAACCACTTGTTTCAGAGAATTATTTCCTGGTTTGTTTTTATTTAATTCACGATCTCGTTGTATGTTGAGAGAGTAAAAGATACAACATCGAATCAAGTTTAATCTAACATTGCAATACCGTCTGCGTTTAATTGTGTGAACATACATAATTTACATTTGATATTAAAATAATAAAAAAAAAAAAATATTTTTCGAGAGAATTCCAATTTTCTTTTTCATTTATGAAAAATAAATTCAGAGTCGTTTCTTTCACAAATCTACCAGACCATTGCGCACACAAAATGCAGATTAAATTTTCATATCCAAAAAAAATAAGTGCTCAACTATATCTATCAATGTTATCGCGATAAGATTTTTATCAAAGAACACGAGGCTGAGGACCGAGAAATGGACGGACGGATTAGCGTAGGCCGCAGTTTTATTTACAAAGTAACACCGTTTTTCGCGGCGCGGTCAAGCGACGAGGTTTTTATGTCGGATGAGTGTCACCGCAAAAAAGACGCCGCTGCGAAGAAGAACGTACCCCGAATTAAACCGGCGCTCTTTACGAAAGCTCCTCTCTCTTTCACCGACCGGCGTCGGTCGACTCTCCGACCACGTCCCCTCCCCCCCCGCCTCCCCGCCCTCCTTCGTCGTCGCGTTATGGCCGCTCTGCAGCTTTTGAGAGCAGCAAACGCTTGATACGTTGCCAAGTAGCACGGGACCTAGCTCGAATTAATGCGATCCGAGACATTTCCCATCCGGCCGACATTATTGCTCCAGAATTACTCGCCCGTAGGTATCAAATGTTCCGTCTATCGAAACGGTGTTTCGACAACGGGGGTCGAGTGCGAATTCCAATCGATTAAACGTTCGATTGAATCGGCTAAATATTTTCACCACGAACGATAGAGTCAATAAATTTCATCTTTGAAAAATAACGATCGCGTGGTTAGAAGTTTAAGTTGTATTTGTAATTGTAATTGTAAAGTAGGAAATACATTAACAAGTAATTAAATCTAACGCTGACTTTCTGACGAAAGAATCACTCGACGAGATGATAGTGTGCACGAAAAAAAAAAAATCAAAACTATACATATTTTCCTATATAAGCAAGAATATTGTAATCTTTTCAAAAGAAAAAACTATCAGTATTGAGTTGAGCCAAAGAAGTATTTGCGTCAATAGAAATTCAATCGAATAAAGATTAAAATTTTTACTAATCGCAAGAGGATTATAATATTCTTGCTTACATAAGAGAACATTTGTCTTGATTTTAATTCTTTTTCTGTGCACGCGTGTATTCTACTCGCGTACGATTATCGCGCGAATCTATCTCGACGCGTTATCGTCGCGATTTAACGCGAGATTAGCGTTCGCGCCGGCGTGACTCGTAAAATGCTAATTCTCGCAAATAAGACGTTACGCGCCTCTCTCGCCTCGTCTCATCCACAACAAAATCCGCCGCCTTGACGCGGACACACGTGCGCGCGCGCAGAATGCGCGCGTACATCGGTGCACAAAGCGACATTTGACATCGTGCCAAGTGGTACGAGCGATCCGAAACGTTGCCGCGATCGATATCACGCTTGCGAGTTATCACACTCGCGCGCGCGCGCGCGAGAGAGAAAGAGAGAGAGGGGGGGGGGCGCGAAGTCAATCTTGCTGCGTTTTGCATCCGTCCCTCTTGCTTTTCGCAAAAATATGCGCGCTTTCGACAACGAAGTTCACGTTCACGCTATTCCGATTGAAATGTTACCGTGATATTTACATCACAAGCATGCTTGGCTCATTTTCAATTACAAACATATTTTCGTTGGCCCGTCATTACATTGACGTCATTACAAGGATCACAATCGTTACAATCATTGTGAAAATATCTTCGGCACTTAAATTCCGATATTCACGAGCCGTAAATTCTAATTCTCGCAAAAAAATAAAAGTTTCACTTCAACATTAAATAAAAGATTTTATAGCTCTTGTCTTTTTTTTTTCGTTTTGCCGTGCTTCTTTGAATAAAAATTACGAGAAACGCGATAATTGGCATAGAAATAATCTCTTTCGCATCAAATCGGAAAATATCCTCTCTATGAAATAACTGGTAACGGAAGGATTAAGGCGTCCTTACTGCGAATGCCAAAGCGCTTTTTCAAGCGGAACAGTGATTACTCTCGATTCCCCGTTTGCCATTTTGATCGACGAGATGTAAGAGCTAGTTACGGTGAGTGGGTGGGACTTATCGATTCTTACCTTAGCCAGATGGGGGTTGAAGGTGAACTTGGACTCGTGCTCTTTCCGCGGTGTCTGTGCGATCGCCGTCAATGGTGTGAGTGGCACGGTCATCTCCTGAAATAACACAATAAAAAATAATTAGCGAGAGTTCCCCGAGTTACCCGTAATTTTCTGCAAGTTAACAAGTCAATTTTCTCGTGAGTTGAAACAAATGAATGTGTTAATCTTAAAATACCTAAGACCTTTCAAACCCTACATTTACTTTCTTTACGTCTTCGAATCATTTTCTTCGTAAATTTTGAAGAAATTTTAAATACACTCTTCGCTCTTAACGCAATATTCTACCTAAATTAATCAAAATCTTTTCTCTCGGCCGTTTGACTTTTCTTCAAATATTTCTCAAGTAGAAAGAACAGTTTCGCCGGCAAATTGGCCAGGAACCTGAAAATAATTTTGTTGAGCCTTCAAAATGATGTATGACGTTCAAGGTATAAAATCAATAATTTTTGTAGTATTATTATTGTGTTTGAGCATCTCACATAATAATTTTAACAATACAATATTACAAAATTATTTTCAGATTCATTCTACAATTGAACTACTTAAAAGGCAAAAATACACGAAGAGATAACATTGTATTGTATACGACAGTAATCAATGTGCAAATATTGAGGAAAGAGTGAGAACGCAAGATTCATGAGAACGAATAACGAATCCATTTCTCCAAGTATCTCCTGGAGAGACATGAGAGAAAGAAACGGTCGACAACAATACGTTTGCGTAATAGCGAGTGGTGCAACTGGGACACGATTACGTCAATGTCCACGAGCAGAAGTTCGCCGGACGAATTCCGCAGGAGCGTGAGCGTCTACCGCACGCACGCACGTCCGAAAGCAACTTTTTGTTGAAATCTAAAGTTAAACTGCAAATGGAGAGACGGCAAATTCTCATTTTCCACTTAATTTAAATTGAATTTGATCGAAATAAAATTGCAGCTGCTCAATTTCATTTCACCAAAATGCTTAATTCGCGAAACGAAAAAGTATAAAAATAAATGATAACATCAAATCTATTTAAGGAGAAATGGAATAGTAGAAAAAAAGCCAGCGTAAATGTTAACAGTTTCCGACGTCCTATATCGCGACGACGTTGCATGATTTAAAAAGTAAATTAGAAACAAATTTATAAACACATATTTTCGAAATCGCGGAGTGATCCCTCTTTTTGGACCACTAGCTTTGGAACATGGAAGAGGAAATGGAAGTGTAAAACGCGGTGGAGAAGATTGAACATTTTCAGAGACAATTTAATGTAACATATACATACGCGCGGGGGGGGGGGAGGGCGCGCGCGCGCGCGCGCACGCATGTCACACATGTGCACGCGAGTGCACGATAGCGGGGCCGATCGACACGTCGGCACGAAGTCGCAAACTGTCGAACAATGCGCCACGTTACCGAAGCATCGAACGAAACGCATTTCCATCGGGGCGTCGTCGCGGCGCGCAGCCCCGATTCATTGACCCGCCGAGGAGAGACACCCGTCGACGGGAAACAAAGAGCCGACGAGACAAAAGCTCTCGCGGCGAAGTGCTTACGTTCTTACGTGCGATCGGCGGCGCACTCGATGCCGCCAACGCTCGCGGAAAATAAAGCCTTAAAAGTTGGAGGAGAACCGGCGAAAAAAAAAAAGAGAAGAGTTGAGACAGATGAATGCAGAGATGCTGCGCGCTCGCTCGCGACGTATTTCCAGATAAATATCTGGCTTATCTTGTCGAGCACGTGAGACATTAATTTCTCCGTAAAACTCATGAAAAATTCTTCTCATATAAAAGTATTCGAGAAAAATTGAATTAATTTTAAATCGTCAATATATACCATTTTTTTGACAATGTGAAACTTCGAATTAATAATTTCGAATTAAGAAAAATCTAAAAGAGTAATGTCGTCACGTGGCTCATCGTCGCCCGCAACTCGAGATGTAAAGATATCAAGAAAACCATATAACATAAACAATAAGTCGTACAAGTTTCTATGAAAATATTTCATACGTAATCTAATAATAAATATATATACCGAGAATATCGGCTCTTCGAATTTAATTTTCCAAGAAACCTACTGTCACATAAGTTACGCTTGGTGTTGTAGATTCAGTAACGTCGCGCAAGATGATTAATTCCGCTCGAGGATAGATTCAAGAAGTCTAATGGAGGTCTAAGGTTACTTGAATCTCGATTCGACGGATGCGATGCAATTTGATGCATCACACCGATGAGATATACCGCATGCAGCGGTATGCGCGTTCGTGTTTTAACCCCCTCCCTCCTCCCCTTCTTTTCATAACGTTGTGGCACCTCGATTTTGATTATGTTATTACTACAAATATAAAAAGCGATATAGGTATTCCCTTGAGTCTCCTTCGACCAATGCTCGCGGTGATTCAGACGCGAATTTCTTACCGTACAATTTACCGCCGCAGTCAATTTAATGCTTGGCTGCTTGAGGCGTAGAGAAAAGATCCCTCCGATCCGGTCACATCATAAACATTATGTTTTGGATTGTGGAAGAAAACGTGGCACGATAATATCAATATAATGTCGCATTCAAGAGAATGTATTGTTCTAGATGGGAAATTGCTCTGTAATTTCATCAAATGCGAGGTATCACATTAATGCGGCTTGCGGAGTAACGACGACAGTATCTGCCGCGAAACGGAAACAAACGTTTCATGCTCTGGATGCACATTCTCCTGCCAGTCGCGGCATAAAATGTCAAATTATTCGAAACCACGAAATAAGCCGCGAATCGATAATAATGACTTTCGCGCAGCGCGCGTTGTTTCCGCCGAAAACTTGATTTGTAATCAAAGGCAGAAATTATTATCAATCCGCAACTAATACTCGAAATTGCTAGCAGAATTAAGATCGCGTCCTTTCTGAAGCGCGTAACTTTACATGGAATTTCGCTAAAGTGTATAAAAATTGTAAAATAACAATATAAAAAATTCTCGATATATTAAAAGTAATCATTAAAAAAAATACAGGCAAGTAACAATCAGAATATTAGAATAAGTTTCCGTACGTTTCAGCTCGCTTGCATCATTTTCAGCTAATTATTCTAATAATTAATAATAAAGTATATTGCAATATTTATTGCGCACTACTTACCGCGCCTGACTTTTACTTGCCTTTACTTTTTCATTTTTTTTTCAACAAATTTAGCCAGATCAATCTAAAAATAATTTTGTTGATGGATCATGAAAATAATTATGTAGGACAAAATTTAAATATTAAAAACTTTTGTAATATTACCATCCTACTTAACGTTCTATATAATTATTTTAATGATCCTGCAGAATTATCTTTAAACCTGTATCCGGCCAAATTTTTGGATATTTCAGCACAATCATTCTTTCTGTGTGTAACGAGAATTTAATCAGGGAGCAACGTATACAAATAAAATTCATAAGCAAGTGCGGGGCGAGTGTTTTATTTGGATTATCGATCGTCTTGTGGGATTTTCTTTTGTACGCCAAATATATTAAATTGTAGAATTGCGGCCATGCGTTGCAACGCATAATTATTCGGCGCTTGCTATGCACTTGCATACAACTATGCGCGCGCGCGCCACACACACACACACACACACACACACACACACACACACACACACACACACACACACACACACACACACACACACACACACACGCTCCCTATGTAAGCCCCTCGCTATTATTACGTACAAAACCGATACTCAATTATCGACAGGCGATGGTCGCGCGTGGAGTATCGTGCAGAAAGTGAGTAATCGCCAACTCCCCAGAGTGCAATTTAATTTCGACTGCAGATCCATTGGTCCGTGAAACTTGTTACTCCGATGGAAACGCGACGCGCGACGCCAACGTACCGATAAAAATCGACGGTTTCGTAGAAAACGGATGGAAAGGAAGGGAAACTCAAGCGAACACTGGCGTGCACTCGCGCTATAAGAATTGCACTCAGATCAGAAAGATTTACTTTGTACAAAGGGAAGTCATTCTCTTTCTTCTTATCTCAAAATTATTGTTAGGATGTCAAAAGTGCTACAATTATTATAAATTTAATATTAATTAAAATAAAATGTACATATGTCCCTTCTTCATAAAAAGTTTCTGTATTTTCTATTACGAAATAACTATCGCGAATTCTTTATTTTTATGTTTCTTATAATTCGAATATTTATCAAGCCGATTCGAAAGTCCATTCGAATAAGATTTCCGATTATTTTAGGATCGATAAGATATTATTGTTATACCCTTTTATCGAAGAGAAAAGGAAACGGAGATAAGGAAAAGAAATTCCCCCAAGAGTTGAGTCAATCTCTCGTCTCTCTTGCAGGCGAGCAGACATGTTTCGTATAGATGATTTACACAGGCCGATAATTTATTTCCATGCGACGTACGAAGGACGGCATCGAGTTATGCAAATTGCACGCGCTACGAATGAGGAATTTACCGTGGCACGATATCGGACGAATAAATGTCGAATTCGCGAATGAATAATGGGACGCGGCGCACCACGGCAAAAAGCCGAAGCGAGAAAAAGCGCTTCTGGAAATCAGCAAAAATGTGTAAAACGCGCCGGCGATATGCGATAATCTCCGTATCTAACGAATCCTACGATATGCTTCTCTAGGTCTCTATATAACAGTCTCTTATAACTTTGACGTTTATATGTTGAGACTGCGATAAAATTGTTTTCAAGTTGGTAACGTGTACCTCATTATTTTAAATTATTTTTTAATCATCAGTTACATGAAGCATCTTCATGGACCCACTGACTGGATGAAAGATCTCTGAACACTTCATGGAAACATTCAAGCCAGTCGACATGACGATATGACAATTATGCCGGACATGCGAGAGGAAGCGAGCAACGAGCTCGCGCAAAAAACGAAAAAGAAACTCATTGACAAAAAATTTGTAAGTCGTATTTTACACGGTCGTAATTTGTTTCTTGCAGTATTGATAAGTCTTACGCGGCATTTGTCTCTCTTAACATATTAATAGATTATTATAGAATAATTTCGTTGAAGTATTTAAAAAAATGTAACTAAATAAAAATAATTTTGGGC